CTCTGATTATATGGTACAGCCTGTAGCAGGAATGCCTGAAGTTCGATTTCAGGGATCCATGTTTTGTTCTTAGTTATTTTTACATTCATGGCTGTTAAAATCTGATACAACCGAATATTACGTTAGATTCATTTAATGAATTACTAAAGTATTGGAGTTTTTAACAAATTTTGTTTCATAATATATGGTTCAATTAACTTTAGTAATTCATTAAACGAATCTGTTGTCTATTCGCAAATATTATATATTCAATAAATTTCTCAAGATCTCTATTTATCATTTCCTTAATTAGATGGTTGCTCATCCTTTGTTTTTGTCTTCTTTCTTCGGTATATGTATATTGGTCGTACTCAGCAAACGAGAAAGAATTGAAATGAATTGAAATAGATTCAAATTTTTTTAGAAATATTGATTCACGAATGTTAAAATGAATACTTTTCAATCCTGAATGCATTTTTATTCATTTATAGGAATTGCATAAAGCATATCTCTATGCCTTTCAATTTAAAAATAATATTGGCTTTTTCTGTGCATTGTGAATACTGTTCAATTCAAAATTTTGAATAGGAAATGCAATTTTTCAATCCAACTGCATCTAATTGAATCTAATTAAATTCAAAAAAAGTATTCGCTATTTAAAATATGCATTCGGATAGAAAAAAATTTCAATTCATTTTAATCCATTCTCGTTTACTGGGTATCCATACTCTTCGTGTACTTGTCTCTTTTTTTTTAATTTTATACATAAAGCTTTGATTAATTTTTCTCTTCTCATTTCTTTCAGCCATTCTAATTGTAGAATTCTTTTCCATGTACATATTTTGTGCAACAACAATTTTCTTGTTTGTCTTTATAACGTTAATTATACCTAATAAAAAGTATATTAATTGTTAAAGCACTCTTTTAAGCACCAACCACAATAAGTACATTTTAATTGTTTCTAATAACAAATATATATATGTATTAATTGTTCAAATATCTCCAATATTTTGCATATATACTATAATAAATACTTTATCATACTGACGAATTCATATGCTATCGCTAGATTGAGGTTATTCCGTTCCGTTTCCATCAAAATTTTTCGCATGTAAAACCCAGCTACGAAAAAACGTAACGGAATTGTTCTGATTGATTAACCCCCACCATTTGCCTTTTCCGTTCTTTTCTCGTTCCGTTGTTTCTGACTCTATGTGACTGCACCTTTAGGTTTCGAGATATACAATTAACACAATCGATTCCCAGAAAAACAAGCATCGTGTGCCATAAACTTTAGTCTATGGGTTTGTGTCTCTTGTTGGAGGGTGTTTGTCTTAACCTATAAAATTTTGTACTTTAACGCTTAATAACTTGTTTTATAAGGCCAAACGCTCCCTTTTTTGGATTCTTTCGTTCTAAGTAAAGGCACGTTGAATGAGTACATTTTTATTAAGAGGTGAGAAGAGTGGTCTATAAATAAATATTCAAATTTTATATCGCAGAATGATCGTACATTCATTATAAATGTTTTAATACAAATTTCTTTCCAATTTTATTTAAAGATTTTGAAAGGTATTTGCATAAATATTATTTGCACGTGCAAAAATAGCATATAAGGTAAAAGTATACCACAATAGGTATATTTTTAATAACGTAACATGACGATTCTCGCAATGATTCAAAGGCTTGTGATATCGAGCTGCAGAGGTAAAATTGACATTGATACATACCGAAGAATTATACCGAGTTTGAATATTTTGCGAGAAAGGACAGCAGTGATAAAAGCAGAATTTTCTATATATCACATGTGCACAGTTCATAAGAAACATTTTTACAATTCTACAATCTACTTGGATAAAATTAACCCAAAAGAAAATGGAATTGGCATTGTAGATAACGTATCTACGTTTCAAATAAAAAAAAGATCACCTAGAAGAAATAGAGCCATAATAAATGACGACAAGATTCCAAAGCTTAATGTAAGTTTATTGTGTAAAGAATTAAAATATTTTAATTTTACAAGCCTGTAATGAAAAAAAAAGAGAAGATGTATCACTTCTATACTTAAAAAAATAGCATAAAATATATAACTAAAAAAACATGATTTTTTAGTTGTACTATGTATGAGTTAAATAAGCATTCTGTTAATTATCAGAACTAACTTAATAAATTAAGTGGACTAACTTAATTCATAAAGAGATATTAAAATTGTCACAAAAAAAAAGATGATTGTAAAGGATTATTCACAAAAAGCAAGAAAATCAGATTAAATATCTTTCTGTCAATATTATTTGATAAGGCAATAATTTTCTATCAAGTTGAAAAATAGGTTTTCTCTTTTGTGAAACTTAATTTTTTCAATATGATTCGAAATGGAACTCAAATATTCAAACTTTAAATACGAAGCGCCTTACAGTTCCGAGTGTTAAGATGTTGAACTAACATTCATTTAAATTAAATTAAATTAATTTTTTCAGAAATAAATTGAGAGCCGATAAATTATCGGATTCACACAATCATTTTTAAGATTTGGGAAAATTTGAGGGGATTATCAAAATGATTGTGTAACTGTAAGGCGCTTCGTATTTAAAGTTTTAATTTTTTCAGTTGTGTTGTTTTTAAAGTAAAGGAGGGTGTAATATGTATAAAAGAAATTTTTATGTTAGGCATGGACTGTGAAAGCATTAGCCACTGCTGAGGAATACAATTTGGAAACTTTAGCTTATGGATTATTGGATCAACAGTTATACATTCCTAGTAAAATCTCTACATCAACTAGTCGTAAGTATCTTTATAACTGAATTTTCTGGACATTTTACATTTTTATGAAATATAAATGATGTAAGCAATTGCACAAGATTTCATGAGATGTAATTACTCGAAGTGAATGTGAATTTTTGCACGTCATCGAATATATGTTCATGCTTTAATTCACTTATTAGTCATTTGGGATAAGTATCACTTATCAGACATGTTTATGCATATAAAGAACAGACAATTATAATAAAAGATTAGTCCACCCTAAAACTTTCAAAAGATCGAAATTTTATGCTTAAATCGATAGTTTAGGGTCTCAAGAATAAAATTTTTTTATCCAAAAGTGAAATTTTCAATATTAACAAAGATACAGTTGATTATGTCGATGCACAACGATCGATGCATCTACGCAGCTGTTAAACTGTTCTGTCATTATTTGATGTTATAGTTACATATCTGTACTGTAGATAATGTTGACATACAATTTTAATTTAATTTTATAGATTATACCGGTTTTGGTTAGAAATCAGTGCATCCATTTACTTAAAATACGAAAAGAGATTGTTATTGAAACTTTATCGCATTTTTCTCAGAATAATGTTTTTAAAAACGGTGGACACCAGAACTATCACAAAATTAATTCAAATGCTTTGAAATTTGGTTCAGTTATTGTCAATTGAATTATTTAAAGAATCTGTGATTTTTGCGATAACTTATATACTTTTTTTGTTATTCACATCTTATGTCGAATTTTTACATGAAAATAAATTTTTTTTTACGCACTATTTTTACATTTTTCAATATTTTTTAATTCTGCTAGGTATTTCTCTAGTAAATTTAATGCAGATTAAATATAATTTTTTAATTTTTGGCTACAGCATGCCTTGGACCTGCTCTGCTGCCTTCCGTGAAGGCCTTCATTATATGCAGAAGGCCTCTAAAAAATATGCTGTAGCACCACCATTTTGTTTTTTAGAATTATAATTTTTATACATTTTGTACATCAAAATACAAGTAACAAATAGGTATAAAAAAATTTTTTGTATCATGTATAGTTTTTTAATGATCACCTCTCAAAGTAAAGTATGATTTTGAGGCCTCCAGGGTAAACTAATCTCTTAATTAGAATCATCAGTATTATGATTGCGTGTTTATATAATATATAATAAAGAAGTTTCGTATAAAATTCTACTTTAAAAATAATTGACATATCTGTCAATCATCATTTTGTTAAGGTGATTCTTTAATAAATCGTAATAGTCTCATCTTCACGAAATCTATGGTTTTGAATATAGTCATGGAATATAGTACTTGGAAGAGGCTGCGCAAGCGATAACGTCGAGGAACTAAAGCTCTCTCTGTCGTTTCTAAATCGGAATGAATATGTTATGATCTTAATAATAGTATATCTGCAAATAAAATTACGCATAGTCGATAATAAAATTAACGTGCCACAACATATGTAATGATTAAGGTTATACATGGTCCTTAGAAACGTTCTACAAACTTCGAATGCATTATTGTACAAACTTGTTACTTGTAATACAGGTTATTTTAATAACACATTTTTCATATATAAGAGAGAATTATTATAATAATTATAATTAATATTTATACTTAATCCCACTTGAAATGTTATTTAATGTTATACAGCTATCAATGCACATGATCTCCGCGATCCACAGCTTCTCATGAAGTAAGCGAAAGAACCAATCAGTGTCGTGGAAAAGCGACGATAAACTTCGATATTATGAGTTTCAATTTAACATCTTTTTTTTAGAAAGGAATCTTGCTTTGTATGCTAAATTGAAAACAGAGAAGGATCTTTTTCATAGCTGTGATTTCATAGCGTAAATTTCCTAACCTGAATGGTTGTCAATTGTAACTGTAATTAGTGTAAGGTAGCAACACGATCCCGTGTATAACTTCCGAAATCGTAACGTTGCAAAAGGGTAGGAATGTAGTCAGGATCAATCCAAAGGAGGGATAATCTAAGAAACTTCTTGGAAGGAAAGGGCGTATAATTCTAACATCGATATTAACTGTTGAGATCTTTATTGGAAGTCTAGTAACGGACTATCTCTCATTTACAAAGGAATCGCTAAGGATCTCTCCTCTTCTGCCTCACTATCGCTATTTAACCAAAAGGGTATTGTCGACGGGCCAATTGCAAGGCATGGCCAATCGTGTGCGGCAATGGCGGGTTGATCGGAATGCCGCCAGTAATGAGGCGTGAAAACTAAACTTATATTCTATGACCGAAGATGCTATCTTACATTAGTGTCTCGGTTCACACAGATTCACGAGGCAGAGCAACACTTTTTTTACCAAATTTGTTTATTACAATAACAAAAACGCGTCGATTGGTATATTTTTTATCTATTTTTGTATATGCTAAACTATACAATTACCACCAATTTTACAAAATCATATAATAGACTAAGCATAATTGAATATAGTGATTGTCATAATTTTTGTTACTAATATCTCAAATCTGTGATTGTAAAAAATGCTTTATTTTTTTGCATAATTGCAAGCCAAAATAGACATTAGATTTATGTATTGATATAATACAAGTCCATTCAAAACTTATCTGACAAGTCTGGTATAATATAACAAGCTCTGTATCTGTATACTGTATTTTATAAAGAAATATCAAAAATAAATTCTGACTTTTAACTAGAAATACAAAAAAAAAAAATATGTTTCTAATACTTAGAAATTAGAAGCTCACAGTTCAGTTTGGAAGAATGGAGGAAGACAAACAAGCGACAATGAAATTGCCCATTCCGCTGGAATTATCAAAAGAAGAATTAGAAGAATTAGTAGATAAAGCAAAGGATTGGGCGCTTATACATGGAATATGTTTGAGATCGAAAAAAGTTTTTGATAGAGATATCTTACAATTCGCACCATTTACGCTTTTTCCATCACCCTTTCCCCGAGAGGAGTTCTATAATGCCTGTGATATTCAGATCATTTTGAATATACTCATACATAGAGTAGCTCATGATTATGATTTTTTGAAAGATACTTTGCGTGAGACTATAAAAGTGGACGATTTTACTAAAAACTTATTTAATATCTATAAGATTATTCACAAGGAAGGTGTTGCTCAGAAAATATCTCTTGGCATATTACGCTCAGATCTAATGTTAGACACAAGTTGTCCCAAGAAAGATATTAAAATGCTCAAGTCTCACTGCTGCTGGAAGCAAGTTGAGATAAATACAATTGCTTCTGGATTCGGTTGGTTAGGACCTGCATCTACGCAGCTACACAAGTTTGTCTTGCAGGAACTTGGCTATACGGCTGAACTGAAAAATCTTCCTGAAAATAATGCTCTACAAACACTTTGTTCTAGTTTCATAGAAGCATGGAATTTATATGGCAATCCACAGTATGTTTGTAATTTCTATAAATATCTATTTTTAATCTTATAATTTATTGTTTATTTAATCTCAAATCCAATGATTGTTACATTATTTTATGTTATCTATATCATTTAAATATTATTTTGATTTTCTTATATTTAAAAGCATATAATTGTTTGCAGAGCAGTTATTTTGTTCGTTATTGAAGACACTACATATAATATTTGCGATCAGCGCTTTCATGAATATGAAATTCGTAAGCAAAATTCAGATATAAAAGTAATTCGTAGAAATTTAACGCAATTAGTGACTACTGCAAGACTGGGTCCCAATATGGAGCTAGTAGTAGGTAGTTATGTCGTAGCAGTAGTTTACTACAGGTGCGGTTATGAACCTGGTCAGTATCACACTCAAAAAGAATGGGATGTAAGGTTGCTAATTGAGAGGTCATTGGCGATCAAATGCCCGAGCATTCAATATCATTTAGCTGGTACAAAGAAAGTTCAACAAACTCTTGCAAAGCCCGGTATGGTTGCACGTTTCTTAAAAGATGAAAAAACTGCAGCAAAAGTTAAAGAAGTATTTACTGGTAAGTAATTGTTTTCTAATTTATTGAAATAAGTAACAGAAAGATTGTTACTAATCTTAATATTAATGCATTACAACATGTGATATTCTTATCTAGTTACGTGCATATAAAGTTAAATTATATGAACAAAGACATATGATTTTTTTGTTTCAGGTCTTTATCCGTTGGATTTTGATGAATTTGGAAATGTTGCTGTAGATATGGGTATTTCAAACCCTCATCGTTTCGTGTTAAAACCGCAGAGAGAAGGCGGTTGTAATAACTTGTATGGGACAGATATCAAAAATTTTCTAGAATCTGTAAAATCTAAACAAAATCGAGTAGCTTGGATTCTTATGGATCGAATTTATCCACCTGTGCACAGAAATTATGTTGTGAAATGTGGAAATGGAAATATGAATTTAGAAATGAAAGAACTAGTCTCAGAGTTAGGTATATTCGGTATTATCATTGGAGATAATAAAAATATTATAATAAATAAACAGGCTGGTCATATGTTAAGAACAAAATTATCCACTGATAATGAAGGCGGTGTGGCTACTGGTTTAGGTGCTTGCGATAGCCCACTTTTAATTGACTGATATGTCAATGACATGCGGATATTGAAATTAATTCTATCGCGTAGAAACCGTGCACCACTTGCTATATTATATCATACCTTTATATCATTTCTTTCTTAAATACTCTTAATATTTTTACCCATAAATTCGATATTTATGAATAAAGATTTTGTATGTACATTTCTAAATATACACACACATACACATATTCATATACAAATATATGTACAAATATATTAAAATAAAATGCATTTACTTATATAGCAATTAAAACTTTTGTTTCATTAAAATAAATAAGATCCTTCCTACTACTTCCAACTTATAAAATTTAAAATTAAATTTGTTTTATATTTTGAACTGTTTTTTTTTTTGCAGCTTTACCTGATGTTATACATGCGGTGGCCAAATATGAAGTGGGATATGAACCACGAGAGATCTTTTTCTTCCGAGAAGGTAGCATTGTTATGTGGAATATTTCTGATCTCGAATGTGGCAACGTATTACAATTTTTGAGACGTTACGAGCAAAATCGTTACACAGAAGAATTAGTTCAAACCGAAAGCGAGTTAATGAATTATATTTATGCGGATCCCGGGTATTTCTATTTTTTTGTTACTAAATACTTTTATATTCACGGACTCCACGTATAAAATAAACTGTGAGAAACTTGGACAAATGTGAGTGCTTAAAAAAATTCAATAATTCTCGGAATCTAACAGGAAAAAGAGTCACTTGAAGGATGGCGATATTATCCTGGCACAGGAAGCAGGAAATTTGGATAAGTACACGTTTTCCAATGCCATGGCACAATCTGTCAAGTTAGGCATATGGGAGGCATCGTTAAATCGTTATGTTGATTCAATTGAATTTGTTACGGAAGATCTAAAAATTGGTAAGAAGATTCAGATGACGCAGCACGAGGTGTTGAGAAAACAGGGTGAATTGTTCGCTCTCAGACACCGTATCAATTTAACGTCGGATCTGTTGGATACACCTGATTTCTACTGGGAACGAGACGATTTGGAAAGTTTGTATCAACAAACCTGCGGATATTTTAGCATCGCGAAACGTACGAAAGTAAGTGTTTGATACACATTTTGTTGACTTCTAAATATTTCTAGCTTTCGTAAAATATTTATTGGTTATGTAGGTGATGAACGAGAGATTAAATCACTGTTTGGAACTGGTGAGCATCTTGTCGTCGCACTTGAGCGATCGTCATCATGTACGTTTGGAATGGATGATTATCATACTTATTATGGTGGAGGTCGCTTTCGAAGTTTTGCATTACATCGATCGGTATCTTGTAAAATAGTGACCTAATAATAATAAATAACACCGTATACAAAAGCTGGATAATCTATGTATATTATGTATATATTTATTAAATATATATTATTAATATGGAGTAGGGATGTCTGTTGAGTCCCTTGTTGTTTAATATACTGACGGCAGATCTGAAGGAAGAGATGGGAAAAATTAAATGGGGGGGAGTGAAACTACGAGACAAGGTGTATGGTTTGGCTTACGCAGATGATATGGTTTTACTGGCGGAAGATAAAGGAGGCATGAGGAGTATGATAGAGAGATTAGAAGGATATATTGAAAAGAAGGGATTGGAGCTAAATAGGGAAAAAAACTAAAATAATGAAATTTAGGAAGGGGCGGGGGATAGGAGCAATAAGGTGGATTGGAGATGGAAGAAAGTAAGGTGATAGAAGAAGTAAAGAAGTTCACAAATATCTGGGATATACGTTGCAAAGGAATGGGGGAACATGTAAAGGAAAGAGTTGCGGCAGCAGTAATGGAACAGGTATGGAGGATTGAGAAAAGGAGATTCGGCAATGATTGAAAGAGAAGGATATAGTTATTTGATGCGTTGATATGGTGAGTTATGAGGTGGAAATCTAAGGCTGGAAAGAGAGGGAAGGGATGGAGAAGTTACAGAATAGATATTTAAGGTAGGTGTTAGGGGTGAAGGGAAAGACGCCAAGCTACATGATAAAGAAGGAAATGCAAAGAGAAAAGCTAAGAGGAAGGGCAGGAAAAAAGGCTTGGGTATTTGAGGAGTGATTGAAGGGGGGAGGGTAGTTTTTGGCGCAGTTTGGAGGAGATAAGGGATAACGTAAGGAATGGGAGAAAGTTAGAAGATTGGAAGAAAGGAAGGGGACAATATTTCGAGGACAGGAAGTTGAAGTTGGAAAGCTGGCAAAGCCTGGAGATGCAGGGAGGGTTTAGATTCGAAGAACTGGAAAAAAGGAATAGGAAAATGCAGAAGGAGAAAAGATGGGAAAAAATAAGGAAAGCGAAGTATAAGGTGTAGTAAAAACAAATCTATTATTTTTTCAATAGATGGCTTTAGTAATCTGTATCTCGCGTTGTATAAGTGCGATCGGGTTACGCCAAATGGCGTTAGAAAGATAATATTTCGTACTAAAAAAACTTCTCAGACAGTTTTGTGATTGCTTGAGTCAGTATTGTTTGAGCGCGTGTCAAAGATGGACACCAATAAAGAGAAAATACGCCATATTTACAATTTTTCTTCGATAAAGGCGAAAACGCAAGTCAGGCGGCTGAAAATGTGAATAGTGTTTATGGTCCTGATACTGTAACAGTCAATATCGCGCAATTTTAGTTTCGTCGATTCCGTTCCGGTAATTTTGATGTCAAAGATGCACCACGCTTTGGAAGGCCAATTGTTGAAAATGTCGATAAAATAATGGAAATCGTCGAGTCCGACCGTCATGTCCAGGAGCTAAACATTGCACAAAAAACCGTTTGGAACCATTTAAATAAGGCTGGATACAAAAAGAAGCTCGATGTATGGGTGCCACACGAGTTAACGCAAAAAAACATCATGGACCGAATTTCCATCTGCGAATCGCTGCTGAATCGCAACAAAATCGACCCATTTCTGAAGCGAATGGTTACTGGTGATGAAAAGTGGGTCACTTACGACAACGTCAAGCGAAAACGGTCGTGGTCGAATCGCGATGAGCCGGCGCAAACGGTGGCCAAGTCAGGATTGACGATCAGGAAGGTTTTGCTGTGTGTTTGGTGAGATTGGCAGGGAATCATCTACTATGAGCTGCTTCCCTACGGCCAAACTCTTAATTCGGACCTGTACTGTCAACAATTGGACCGTCTGAAAGAAGCAATCGCCCAGAAGCGGCCAGCTTTGGCCAATAGGAGAGGAATTGTGTTCCATCGAGACAACGCCAGGCCACACACATCGATAGTGACTCGCCAGAAGCTCCAGGAGCTTGGTTGGGAGATTCTTATGCATCCACCTTATAGTCCGGACCTGGCACCAAGTGATTACCACCTGTTCCTGTCTATGGCGAATGATTTTGCTGGTGAAAAATTCGCCTCAAGAGAAGCTAGTGAAAATCGACTGTCCCAGTTTTTTGCCAATAGGGACGAGGGTTTCTATGAGAGAGGCATAATGAAATTACTTTCAAAATGGCAACAAGTTATCGAACAAAACGGTGCATATTTGACTTAAATCGGCTCATTCTAACTATGCTAAATAAAGCCTTCAATTTAATGCAAAAATAATAGATTTCTTTTTACTACACCTTATATAATAGGTGGTATGGATGGATGAAGTGAGGGGATTCCGGCATATTTAAGGAAAGAATGGAAAGAGAGATGTAGAAGGATAGCTAGGTTTAGATTAGGGAATGAGAGAAAGGAAGGGAGATATTGGGAAGGAAAGAGGAGGAAAGGAAGTGTAGGCTATGTGGGAATGATAGGGTGGAATCATAGGAGCATGTATGGGAAGAGAGTTGGGTAGGAGTTAGAGTGTAGGATATGAAGAGGCAGGAGGTTGTAGAATTTTGAGGGAGAGGGTGAGAGATGGATGAGAGATGTGGAGGAAGAAAAGAAGAAAGTGGAGGAGAGAGGGAGTTAAGGAATGAGAGGAAAGAGAGGGAGAAGGATTGAGGGAGGCTCTGCGGGAGGATTGATGAGTTGTACTTTTTGAAAATGGAAGAGTGATATAGATATTACAGCGGAAGCGGAAGTCCGGGCGTAGGGAGAAAGAGAGATACGTTAAAGTAGATTAAAATAGGATAAGAGTACGTATAGATAATGATATAAGTGTTATTGTATATATTTATAATCCCTATAAGGGGATGCAATAAAGATTTAACTAACTAACATTACTGATATATTCTAATCTAAAAATCTCTAAGTTTTACAATTCGTATTCTAATCAACTAATTGCCTTTTGAGCAATGCGAATGTTTTATGGCAACATTGATCTTAAGGGGATGCTAAAGCCACCTGTTTTACGTACCATCATTTCCACTCGGTGAAAAATCTCCGAATTGAATTTACGGATTGCAAAAGTGTTAGTACATAAATTAAAGTATGCACAAATAAGACCTCAACTGCACTGAATTTCATAAGAAAATCGAAAAAAAGTTAAAAAAATTTACTTTTGGCTCATACAGCTATTACCTCAGGTATATATTTGCTTGATATAAGAGTTTTAGAGTCCATATCTTCTTCTTCTATTCCCCTTGCATGGATTTCCGACCCTGTCATAGGGTAGTACAATACTATACGTTGACTTGATCTTGCGATCTAGAACCTCTTCGGAGATAGAGGTTCGGCTTATGCTTCAAAATAAAACTCAGATTACTTTAATTCTAATCCAGAGTCATCTAGTTCAGACGAATATATAGACTCCAGCCAGCCATCTTTAGAATCCTTTTTAGAGGTGAAAGATGGCAATCATATAGGAAAAAGACCATATATATAACATTAATTTTACAAAAGGGATCATAGCCTAAGATTATTTAACAAAAATCACTAAAAAATTAATGGCTTTATATAATATTAGCCTGAGCAACTATATAAGCGATTGAAAAAGAAGGGAAAATTTAATAGAAACAAGAAACTACAATATATCAATTCTAATCTGATCTCGGGATTAATGTTAGGACAACCTCAAAAAATGTGATTCAGATTTTGGAATAGATATCCACAAATACAAACTGGGTCATTTTTACAGCTTATCTTAAATAAAAAAGCATTCGTAAAAGCATAGCTCGTTATTAATCTCACCGCTAGAGTAAAGTCCCCTATATTAATTTTCCTTTTGCTGAAAAGTCTTAAATCAATATCAGGAATCAATTCCATAAAATATCTACCTTTATTAGAATTAAGACTGTTAAAAAAAGATTTAGCCAATTCATTAAGAATTTCAGTACGATTAGAGATTAATTATCTGATTTTGTTCATCAAACGAATATTTGTATTTTGTTCTTTGTATTAGGAACTATAAATTTTATTTTGGATATCATATATTAATAAACATAATCTAAATTTCTTGGGGTAACCGGATTGTATAGCCCTTAAACAACTGAGAGAATCTGTACAGATATTCGCAAATTTAATTTCCTTTATCAAAATGTAATCAATGGCCTTCGAAATTAGCCAAGCTTCTGCCTCAAAGGAATTGGACAAGTTGTGTGTTGTGTTGTGTTGTGTGGTTCAACTTATATCTTATATATTATAATTAAATTTTGGGATCCAAATCGCTGATCTTATGAGGCTGTTATTATTTTGAGTTTTGATTATGGATCTATCGGTATAAATATTTAGTTCTTGATCCGAGTTGGCTCTGCTATCAGGTTCGAGAAAGCCCTACTTGGATTACCACACTCTTTAGCTAATATACCGGAGTCAAAATCAATTGAAATCATAGAGGCACCCTGATGCGAGTAGGCGAAAACTACGTACCAAATATAAAGGGAGTGTTTCAAAGGTTTTAATTCATTCCATTTATCCAATATAAAGGGGATATTTCTTTTTGCTACTTCATCTGACGAAGATAACATTAATATATTAATCAATTTATTAATGATCCTATAATGCTTTAATTGAATACACTTGAGTAAGAAATCCTCAGACAACTTATTAATCGTATAAATATAGGAATTTTATCTCGAAAACTTCCAACAGACTCTGTTGGACGCAGCTCTTGGGAGACCCAAGCCCATCTTATAAACAATACACAATAAATTTCTAATGATGTCAAGGTACGAGTTGGCTGCATTAATAAACCAAAGGCCCCCCATTCAAATTGAGCCAATAAAATTGCGTTAATAAATTTTAATAGCTTAGGGAGACTGATATTCTATGAAGATGCTGATATCCATTTGAAAATATTTATGAATTGTGTAGACTTATTCTTTAAATAAGATTTTCATCTTAAATCTGGATTCATAACAAGTTCCAAATAACAAATAGATTTGCTAAAGAGAATTTGAGTATTAAAGAGTTTAATTGATTCCGGAATCTGAAATTTTTTGGTTCGATGTATTGGGTTTTGTTTATT